GATTGTTGACAATTCCTTATTGCTAAACGATTATGGATAATCATTTTTTAATAAAACATACGGTAACAATGTTTTTCCTCTAAGCGCGAATTTTCGTTAGGACAAGTAATTTTGGCTCTATCGTATAAGGATTTAATGATTCCCTTTTTAATATTGATATTGTGATTTGATTTGTAATTAAATATCTATTGGTGTGTATTGTTTTTCTATACACCTGACTCTTATATCCAGTATTGTTCTTAGAGATTAAAACATTAAGGAAAGGTAGTGTTATTATATTCTTTTGCAGTGTTAAATGTTATTGTCTCTTCTTTATCATTTATATCATTCAGGAATGTGTCCAACAACGCTAATTCATGAGGCCATATTGAGAATACATCATCTACATCTACATTTGAATTAAATTCAATATTCGATAATTTATTTAAAAAATGTTGTGTATTTTTTATAGATGTGCCGTTTTTATTTTTACTGTTTTTTTTTATTCTCGTTGCAAGGTATTGCTTCTTTTCTTTGTTTGTTTGCACCATTTACTCGCTTTAATTCCCATTTTCATTATCTATTCATCACTCTACAATTCAGAGTATTGAAGTAAATAAACATTCACGAAAACATAGGAAACACGGCCATATAATTGATACACATTGAGATTTTTATTGCAATTTTCTCCATTCTTACGCTTCATCGGTACTATTGAATATTCCATTTATGTGGTCCAGTATATCAATCAAGTTATGAGTACATTATAAATATGTAAATGTATGTATATACTTTTATATTGAATATTACAGAAGTTTCAGAGAATCAATAAAATTCGTATATTTGGCCAATTTTTGACGATTTCGTGTCAATAACTACTTTAATGTGGTAAAAATTGCGGATGGCTTTCACAAATACCACAAAATCATATTTGCGATTTTAATTCGTATATGAAACGAAAATTCCCATTAAAATTGATTTCCTGTTTTTAAGTAATCATCTATTCCGATTGGTAATATCTGTAAATTTTACAATTTTCCTGTCCTAACTACCAAAAAATAAACTTTGAAAATCTGATAATGATTTTTATAATTTTTTAGCAGGTTTATTTTGACGTCAAATTTGTAGTAAAATAAATTTCTACATGATAATATAGGCAATATTTTTATTCGGGCCCCAAAAATTCCTTTATATAAAAACGATAAAGGATAATCTTTTTTTTTTAATAAAACAGATGTTAACAAATGTTTATCCTCCAAGAACAAATTTTCGTTAGAACAAACAATTTTAGATCTATCGTATAAGGATTTAATGATTCCCTTTTTAATATTATTATTGTGATTTGATTTGAAATTTAAATATCTGTTGGTGTGTGTTGGTTTTCTATATACGACTTTTTCATGAGTTTCATATCCAGTATTGTACTTTTAAATAAAGATAGATTTAAATAGAGATTAAAAGATCCAGGAAAGATAGTGTGTTATTATTTTCCTTTTTCATAGTAAATGTTATTGTCTCTTTTTTATTGTTTATATAATTCAGGAATGTGTCCAACAATTCTGATCCATTAGGCCATATTGAGAATACATTATCTACATATCTCCACCATACTTTCGGTTTTAAATTTTGTTCAGAAATAATATTTGTTTCAAAATCTTCCATAAATATATCGAATAATAATGGAAATAAACTAGAACCCATTGCTAGACCAAAATTTTGTTTATAGAATTCATTATTTAGTTGAAAATATTTATTATCAGTACATAATGTCATTAACTCCATTAGGTATATGTTTAGTCTTGTTCTAGTTGTCAATGTATCGTCACTTTCTAATATTGTCTTGACTATATTCAAAAATTTTTCTGACAAATATTTTTAAGTTAAAGTTAATTTCATGTAATCGAATGAACTATCTTACAATAAAGTCGTCCCAGGAAAGCTAGTCAGCAATATTGACAATATAATTTTAAAGTCGTCTACTTTAAAATTTATAATATATGTCTGAATTGTAAATATAAATTAGTAAGATAAAATTAAATTATTAGAAACATTTTTCACCAAGTAACAAAAAACAAAATTTGTTTAATTTATTAATGTTTGTATTTTGAGAACGATTTCCGAAGTGGAAATTGAAACGTCAATAAACTTGCAATTGTGGCCGATTTCCATTAAAATAGTAATTAATTTAAAATGTCACAAGAAAGTAGCTTCAGAACAGTGATAAAAAATTACTATAAATCCTAACAATTTGTCAACAACTGTTGACCTAACTCATCTGTTCCAAAGGATCAGCACTATTTGTCACTGCGACAATGGTTAGGCAATCTCGTTGAATGACTACATCAAAAACCGACGGACTTAACTAATTTTTTACGTACTTAGTATAATTTAAGATTCTGAATTTCTAAGTTTTTAACTATATAATCATTTTAAAGGGTGATGTAAATATTATTTTCTTGTAACCTACTTAAAAATTTTCTCGTCACAATTCACGTATTTATTAAAATTCATCGTTCATTGTATTTTTCAATTTTTGGGAAAGTCTTTGTGTTGAGATAAACTCATTTCTTTGTATACTGAGATCTTTATAATAGAAAGATAATTAGAAGATGAATAATGAGTGTAAATTAAATTTGATGTGGGTAAAATACAAAAAACTTTTAATAATTAAAACATCATTTATGATATTTTTAAGACATTTTATTTAGAAGAGAAACTCCAAGAAATGTGAAGACCATAGGATTATTAGCCTGATGAATCATATGTTGAAGCTTTTCCTACGAGTAATACACAATAGGGTATACAATAAACTAGACGAACACACTGGTCAAACTCAGTTTGGTTTTAAGAATGGGTTCGGAACAAGAGAAGCACTTTTTTCAATACGTGTGCTAGTTGAAAGATGTAGAGATGTCGATTCTGATGTATACTTGTGTTTTATAGACTTTCAGAAGGCGTTTGACCTGGTGAAACATGATAAACTAATAGATATTTTAAGGTCATGTAATATCGACGATAAAGACTTAAGGATCATTTCAAACCTCTACCAAGAACAAAAGGCTAAAATCAGAATAAAAAGCGAAACATCTGGAAAAATCAATATCGAGTAGGGAGTAAGACAGGGATGTGTCCTATCACCTTTGCTGTTCAATGTTTACTCTGAGAAGATATTTCAGAAAGCTTTGGAAGGCACCTTCGGATGGTATAATTATAAACGGGCAATGTATAAATAACCTGCGATATGCTGATGACACTGTCATACTGGCAGATAATGCTGAAGCCCTGCAACGCTTAATGGACCGAGTAACGACAGCCTGTAGAGAATTTGGAATGAAATTGAATACAAAGAAGACAAAAACGATGGTCATCAGCAAGCCCCAAAACAGAAGGGTAAAGGTCAATGTGGACGGAACAGATCTGGAAAGAGTAACAAGAACAACGTACCTTGGAAGTAATCTTGATGAAACTTGGGACCACTCACTAGAGATAAGAATACGCCTGGAAAAGGCACGCAAAAAGTTCTATGCAACCGCCAGCTGGGCATCTCATTGAAAACTAGAATATTTAAGTGCTATGTTTTCTCCACCTTGCTCTATGGTGTTGAAGCCTGGACAATGACAGAAGCAACACAAAAAAGAATCCTAGCATTCGAGCTCTGGTGTTACCGTAAAATGCTTAGAATATCCTACATGAGCCATACGACAAATGCGGAAGTCTTGCGGAGGATGAATAAGTAAAGAGAGCTTATGCTTATAATAAAAGAACGGAAAATACAATGTTTTGGTCACATCATAAGAAATCAGAAGTATGAACTGCTCCAACTTATAATCGAAGGCAAAGTCAAAAGCAAAAGAGGACCAGAAAGAAGACGCAACTCCTGGCTTAAGAACCTACGGCAATGGACGAACATGACCTCCATAGAACTATTCAGGGCTGCTACAAATAACTACAACTCCTTACAACGTCTGCTACAACGCTGCTACAACGTCCTTAAGGATAAGGCACCGTAAGAAGAAGTTCATTACATTTATATATCTATTTATATATATCCCAAATGAACTTCAGCATATATATCCCCTAAAGAGAAATGTCACTGATATTAGTGAGATAAAAATCCACAAGGAAAATAATTCCTGCAGCTGGCTGTATACAACGTATCACAAAAAAGAGGTTAAATCTTTGTAAGTGGGTATATTTAAAAAACCCTTAAAAGGGCTACATCAAATTAACACGAACGTTTTCGGAATAATAATTCCATCATCAGGTTAAAAATGCAGGTAAGTTACCAGCTGAAGTTCGTTTGAAGAGGTTGACTCTCCGGACGCTGGTACTCACGTAAGGCATGGGTGTATGTTACCTGAAGTAAAATATAATTAAATATTAAACATCAATTATTATTAAAAACAATGTGTACAATCTTTGGTAACCTTATATATCTTAAAGGGTTTTTACTTTTACTTTTACTAAAATTTTGGTTGCTCAGGCATGTTAACCTGCATTTTTAACCTGATGATGGAATTATTATTCCGAAAACGTTCGTGTTAACTTGATGTAGCCCTATTAAGGGTTTTTTTTTTAAATATACCCACTTACAAAGTTTTAACCCCTTTTTTTTTAGATAAAAATGATTCTCGTAATCCGACGTTAACCGATATCGTATCCGATAACGTTTTGCAGGGCGATGTCGAACTATCGAATTTGTCAGATTATAGAGGATCGCCTAAAAATGTTTCGGTATAATCAACTCTGTTACACATGTCGTACTACAAGGGGTACCGCATTAGACATTGGCCGGAAAATCAGGGGTTCACTAAAATAACAAAATCAAAACACCTAAAGTAGTTGTTCAAACTATTCGTTGACTATTTGCAAACAAGTTTATTTCTTTTCTTGTTAAAACATATCTTTTAGAATAACATGGATTAGACTGAATGTGTTCTATTCTACCTAACTGAATTTAAATTCTCTAATTATCAGTTTAAGTACAGTAATACCCTGGACATATTTTATGAGTTTCTTACCAATTTATTGTCCTAGGTTGCAGTTCTGGCATAGCAGGTGGACCCCAAGCAGCATCCATGGCAACTTCTAAGGCAGACACAGTCTCTTGATGTAAATCCATCACTATGTGGGAAAAAGGCCGATGTTGTTGTTTCTTCTTGCAGTAACTCGATATGACCTGTAATATAAATAACAAAGCCTAAATTATGTTATAACTACTGGGTATGCAATATGGTATTTAAAAAGTATAACCTTTCTAATGCCCATATTATTATATGGCTATTTTTTTGAGATGATAGACATATATATATATATATATATATATATATATATATATATATATATATATATATATATATATATATATATATATATATATATATATATAGGCCATATAGTTGGCCATTTGATATATAAAGCGATAGCGGCTTTCGCTAAAAGATTTAATTCTTTACACATTTCGTATAGCATAAAGGATACAGAAAAAACGATTATTCATATCGTTTCGTTCACGGCCTCCAAAGTAGGTGGCGCCTTTATAAGCTAACTAGACGGTAGTAAAGATTTGGGAGACATTCGTTTTACTTTCCGAGTTTGAATTTGTATCAGCCCAAGTGTCTGACGATGGCTGGGATAGGCCGAAATGATCATAACACTTTAGTGATACCAATTCGAGCACGGGAAGTTTAACAAATTTGTCTCCTAGGCCATATAGTTGGCCATTTGATATATAAAGCGATAGCGGCTTTCGCTAAAAGATTTATTTCTTTACATATATATATATATATATATATATATATATATATATATATATATATATATATATATATATTAAAATAATATTCTGTTCGTGAGATGTGACTGAATTCAAACCTGCGAAGACGACTGTTTTTTGTCAAACATGTCGTCTTATTTTTTACTTTTTAAACTTTGTAACATGTTCTTTAATTTTTAAGTTATTTTAAAGTCTTTAAAATTTTTAATGCCTTCAATAATTCAGATCACATTATGTTATTTAACGTTGTGTTTTATACGCTATGAATCTTACTTTCTGGTAAGTTTTTATAACTTTTATATTACATCAGCCTAATTTTATAACACAGTAATTTTCATTGTAGACCTTGATAAAGGTGGCAAATAACCACCGAAAGCTCGGATTTCAGAATAAATAGTACGCCTTAGCAAAGCTCTATTTTTTATTGACTACCACACCCAAAAAGAAAAAAGTATTTACATATTTTTTCCAAACTAGTCAAAAATTTTGGACTACCTTGTCTATATATATATAATATATATATATATATATATATATTATATATATATATATATATATATATATATATATATATATATATGTATATATATATATATATGTATATATATATATATATATATACATATATATATATATATATATATATATATATATATATATATATATATATATATATATATATATATATATATATATATATAAAGAGGAAGAGATAATGCGAAATAAGCCAAAACAAAATGATTTTAATACAGAAAATATACATTTTTATAATACTTGTTAAATTCCTATTATAAACGTTTTAATCATTAAATATAAATTTTAGAAATACTGTTTATGATTTGTTACGTAAATAATTTCGTTTTTACAATAAAAAAGCACTGGAAATCGAAAAAGAATTCATAATTATATTGAACAATACTTTAGTCTGGCAAATAATAAGTGAAATGAGTCATGAGCGTGATCAATTAGGTTTTTCGTATCGTTTAGCCATCACCATGAATGTTACCACAAAGCGTGTCAGTAGCGGAGAAAGGCTTCATGTCATTTGACATGAAGTTGTGGTTTTTGTTGTTTTTTAGATGTTTTTGTGTTGTATTTGTAAAAATACCGTTTTATGTTGTAATGTTTTTATTTAAAATTTGTATTTGTAAATATTTAAAAAAAATTGTAATATTTAAAAATGTTTTTTAACATATTTATGACAATGTTCTTTACTACAAGGACTAACTGAACATTTTCAATGTAAGTTTTAAACTTCCACCACTTGTACTAAATAAATTTTAAATTTATGTACTGATGAAGGTGATAGCCTATCACCGAAACTTTCACATTTCGAATAAAGTTCTTCACCAAACTGGCTTATACCATCTTTAGCCAATCCTTGACCTGACGCTTTTCCGAGAGTTATCTACCAAAGAAATGTATTCTTTTCTATAGTATATATATGATGTACTATATATATATATATATATAGATATATATATATATATATATATATATATATATATATATATATATATATATATATATATATATATATATATGTATGTATATGAAAGCGTCAAAACAAGGATCAGCTAGAGATGGTATAAGCCAGTTTGGTGTATAACTTTATTCTAAATGTGAAATTTTCGGTGATATGTTGTCACCTTCATCAGCACCTAAATACAAAACCTATTTTAGTACAAGTGGTGGAAATTAACATTTAAAACCTACATTGAAAATGTTCAGTTGGTCCTAGAGGTGAAGAACACTGTCACAAACATGTTAAAAATATTAAAAAATACATTTAAAATTTTGAATAAAAACATTACAACACAACAGGGTATTATTTAAAATACAAACACAACAAAAATCTAAAAATTACAACCTACAAGAACTGCAACTTCATGTTAAAGGTAGAAAAGAAGAATTATTCTTCTTTTTTGATGACATATTTCTGACTTCTGTCAATATCCGGGTGTCATATGCAACGAGGTTATAATTTTCACGTTAGAACCTCATGGATATGGAAAGAAAGAACCCAGGAAACACAATCAGCAGGGAAATGAAGTCTTTTCTCAAGTACAGGTAGGCAATCTATGCATGTTATGATAAGTTCCCTACATTCTCCAGTTTGTTACATCTTGTCAAGTCCTGTTGAAGTAGAAAGGAATAAATACAACTTAAGTTTTCAACATCTTTCTTACAGTTCATAGAAGAACTGCAGTTATGGATGTAGCACATTTCTATGAAGTTTCTCTTAAATTGGTTGTCAACCCTCTTTAGTACTTGTACATTTTCATAGTTAGCAATGTGTCCAGTATTCTTAATATGTTGGCTAAAGGCTGTGCAGGTGGGCTTCCTCACTACATCACTCTTGTGCAAAGCTAGTCTTTTTGAAAGTTTCTGGCTGGTTTGACCGACATACACTTCTGAACAGGCACCACATGGAATAGAATACACTACATTGAAGTTATCCAGTTTTTTAACTCTTACTGTCAGGTGAGTAAAGTATGTCCCTAATCTTTTGTACACTGAATTTGCTATCACTATGTTGAACTGTCTGAAAAGGTTTGTGATCTGTGGTGATAAACCTCTGATGTAAGGTAATCTCCCATAGAAAACTTCTACTGTTTCTCCTTCTAATGTTTGTCTTTGGTGTGTTCTAACTGTTGGCATATCTTGGAATAGCAATTTATTAAGAAGCATCTTACTGTAGTGATTTTTTCTAAGAATCTTATACAATAATTTGATATTCTTATTGTAGTTAGAAGGGTGACAAATTCTTTTTATTCTGTTTTTCAGACCTTTGATGATGTTAATCTTCTGTTCGTCTGGATGATACGAGTGAAAAGGCACATATCTACCTGAGAATGTTTTCTTTCTGTACCAATCCAACCTTACTGTGTTGTCCTCATGTCTGGTTACATGGGTGTCGAGGAATGAAACACTATTATTCTCTTCTGTTTCAACAGTGAATTGTAGGTGAGTGTTATATGAGTTGAAAATGTCAAGAGTGTAGTTGATTTTGTCTGCAGGGACTGCACATATGAGGTCATCTACATATTGGAAAATGAAGGGGAACTGGAAATCAACTTTTTGAGTACAGTAGTGAAGTAGGGAGTTCATTACAATTTCTGCTAAAGTTGGGGATATAGCTCCACCCATGGGTGCTCCTTTTATTTGGACATAGAATTCATTTTGAAAAGTGAAATATGTATTGTTGTATAAAAAGGTAATCAGTTTCAGGAACAAAACTTTGGGAATTGTACAGTTCTGTTCAATAAGATGGTAATTAGATGTCAGAATAGAAACTACCAGTTCAAGAGGGATGTTGGTAAACAAGGAAGTAACATCAAAACTCACCAAGACATATCCTAAAGGTAGTAAAAAACCCATTAATCTTATTTGCAAATTCAAAAGAATCTTTAATTTTGTAGGTATTATGAAAAGAAAAAGAAGTGTCAATAATACCTGCCAGATATTTAGCCAAGGATTGAGTAGGGGCATTCTTACAGGCAATTATAGGACGTAGAGGGCACCCTTCTTTGTGAATTTTTGGAAGTCCATAGTATGTTGGGGTGGTACCGGTATAGTTGGTTAATTCTTTTTTTGTTTTGGTGGTAATATATCCTTCTTCATGTAGTTGTTTTATTAGTAAGTTGGTGTTTCTTTCTACTGATGGAGTCAGATCTTTGGGGATTTTTTTATAGGAGTGTGGGTCATTGAGAAGTTCAAAGATTTGGTGATGTAATCGTTTCTGTCCATTATGACTGTAGTGTTACCTTTGTCTGCTCTTGTTACTATAATATCAGGGTTGTCTTTCAGAAATTTTCTGGTTTTTGTTTCAATGGCCATGGATGGACTGATGTAATACTGATGTAGTACACTCGTATCATCCAGACGAACAGAAGATTAACATCATCAAAGGTCTGAAAAACAGAATAAAAAGAATTTGTCACCCTTCTAACTACAATAAGAACATCAAATTATTGTATGAGATTCTTAGAAAAAATCACTACCCTAAGATGCTTCTTAATAAATTGCTATTCCAAGATATGCTAACAGTTAGAACACACCAAAGACAAACATTAGAAGGAAAAACAGTAGAAGTTTTCTATGGGAGATTACCTTACATCAGAGGTTTATCACCACAGATCACAAACCTTTTCAGACAGTTCAACATAGTGATAGCAAATTCAGTGTACAAAAGATTAGGGACATACTTTACTCACCTGACAGAAAGAGTTAAAAAACTGGATAACTTCAATGTAGTGTATTCTATTCCATGTGGTTCCTGTTCAGAAGTGTATGTCGGTCAAACCAGCCAGAAACTCTCAAAAAGACTAGCTTTGCACAAGAGTGATGTAGTGAGGAAGCCCACCTGCACAGCCTTCAGCCAACATATTAAGAATACTGGA